CAAGGATAGGGCAAGATCACCAATCAAAGAATCCTCAAGGCCCAACAGCAGCCTCCTCAGGGATACCTGGAAAAGGAAGAGCTCCTCATCCACAAGCTAGCCAGGCTGGGGCTCTGACGTGCTGCAGAGCTGCTGGGGCTCTGATGTGCTTCAGGAGGTGGGTAGCAGCACAGACACTAAACTTGCACAAACCATCGGGTGGTAAAGCACGCCATGCCCTCTCCACAGACCAGACTAATGAACAGCTTCATCACTCTGGCTGGCAAGACGGATCCCTGCATCCCAGGCCTGGGGGCTGCACAGGCGATTGGTATTGATCCAATGCAAACACACCTCGGAGGGACAGTCAGTATAAATAATTAGTCAGCACCAGGCAATCAATACCCACCCTCTCACTAACTCAGAGCAACACCCATGAGCACAGCCTGGGTCGGGGTGAGGCCAATTTGGACCAGAAAGTACCATTGGCTTTTAACCTGCTAAGCGGAGAAGAGAGAAATGGAAATTTCCTGCCCTGGGAGCTCAAAATATGAACTTCAAGGACAGAAACTCTCTAAGGAAGACAGGCACAAATGGAAACCAGAAAAGCCAGACTGTCCACAGGCCCTGGGATCAGACACAATACCCTATAAGCTAAGCGCCAGAGAAATACATAAAGTGCTATGGGAGCCTAAAGAAAGATGAGGCTACCTCATCTGCGGATCAGGGAGGTGTCTTCCAGAAAGACAGGAGGTGAGGGAGCTGGAGCAAAGTGTAGCCTGGGTAAGCAGGTGTACACATGCACACACCCCAGGTAAGAAGATGCCCACATGTACACAACCCAGGTAAGCAGGACTGCATAAGTATGCAGCCCAGGTAAGCAGGTGTGCACACATGCACACAGCCCAGGTCAGCAGGTGTGCACACTCACACAGCCCAGGTAAGGAGGCATGCACATACACGCACACAGCCCAGGTAAGCAGGAGCGCATAAGCATGCAGCCCAGGTAAACAGGTGTGCACACATGCACACAACCCAGGTAAGCAGGCTTGCACACTCACACAGCCCAGGTAAGGATGCGTACACATACACACACATGGCCCAGGTAAGCAGGCACCCACACGCACATGGCCCAGGTAAGGAGGTGTACACATACATGCATATGGTCCACATAAGCAGACATGCACATACACACACACGGCCCAGGTAAGCAGGAGTGCACATACGTGCACACAGCCCAGGAGAGCAGGCACGTACACACACACAGCCCAGGTAAGGAGGCGTGCACATACACACACAAAGCCCAGGTAATTAGGCATGCACACACATACACAGCACAGATAAAGAGGTGCAAACACACACACAGTCCAGGTAAGCAGGTGCACACATACACATGGCCCAGGTAAGCAGGCACGTACACACACGCAGTCCACGTAAGCAGGCGGGCACATACACACACGGCCCATGTAAGCAGGCATGCACACAGACACATACAGCCCAGGTAAGCAGATGTACACACATACACAGCCCAGGTAAGCAGGCATGCACACACACACAGCTCAGGTAAGGAGGTGTGCACATACAGCCCAGGTAAGCAGACATACACATACACACACACGGCCCACATAAGCAGGCATGCACATAGACACATACAGCCCAAGCAAGCAGATGCACACACATACACAGCCCAGGTAAGAGATGCACACAGTGTGCCCCAAGTGCCAATTTAAGCTCTCTCCGTATATACTTTATATAATAGAGACAGAGTTGCACAGCTTAAAAGAGGTAGCAACAGAATTTGACTAGGGGGTGGGAATGCTTTGACAGTTTAGAGAGAGTTTAGGATGCTTAGAGAGTTTCTGTCCTTGAAGTTCATATCTTAAGTTTCCAGGACATGAAATTTTCAGGGGCTCTGGGCCATGCTAAGGGACCACCATTCTATCCTGTAGGTGAGGCTACTGGTGGCTCATCATTAACTAATAAGACCTGGGTAGAGGACAAAATCAAATCCTACAAGCCCACAAAGCCTTCCACCAGAGTGACTTCCAAACCAGTCTAATCAGCCTCCTCCTTGACTCACTAAATAGACTGTGCTACAGTCTGATTGCCTGTGTCCCCCCCAAATTCCTGTGTTGAGATCCTAAACCCCAAGGTGATGACATTAGGAGGAAGGGCCTTTGGGAGGTGATCAGGTCAAAGGGGGTGGTGCCCCCACAAATGGGGTTAATGCCCTTCTAAAAGAGGTCCCAGACAGACTGCCTTCTGCCAAGTTAGGACACAGCGAGAAGGTGCTGTCTGTGAACCAGATAGCAGCCCTCACCAGACACTGAATCTGCCAGTGCCTTGATGTTGGTCTTCTCAGCCTCCAGAACTGTGAGCAATACATTTTTGCTGTTTATAAACCACCCAGTTGATGGGATTTTGTTATGGTGGCAGAACAGACTGAGACAAGTGGCCTGAGGCCACCTCTCCTCCTAAGAGGGCTGCTCACCCACTGCCGACAGAGAAACGGCTCAGGAGTTCATCAGCCACCACTTCAAAGCAGCCTCTTGGAGTGTACTCCATTTCCTCACAGGCCAGTGGGCACAACTTGGTCTGGAACATGGGAAGCTTTGTCTCCTTGGAGCAAGTTTCCCCAGTGCCTCCCTGGAGGAGGTGGAGACCACATCTTCTGTGGGTTTTGTACAATGCCTCGCAAGCACTGTCCAAATAAGAACCACTAAGGCTCATGCACTAAGTTACTGCAGTGTGAAACAGCACAGACATCTTCGAAGGGACCCCAGGCTCATCTGGCTTAAGCTGTTTGTTTTGCAGATGGGAAAACTGAGACCCAGAGAGACTGAGCAATATTTTGAGATCACAGAAAAAGTCAGGCTCCCAGCCCAATCTTCCCACTCCTCATCCTATGGGAAGCTCTGAGCTTCCCACATCATGGGACCACAGTACATCCTCCACCTCACACCCAAAAAGCATCAAATCAAGGTGTCCCACCACCCCACCAAACACAGCCTCACTTCCCCATCTGATTCCCAGGCCCTCAGCTCCTCTCTCAGTCGTCTACATCTTCTTACCCCTGCCTGCACCTCCTCGGGGCAGGATCATGCTGCGTGTTCCTGAACTGCCCACAGCGGTGAGCCCACACTGACAGTCTGCTGTACCCAAGTCGTCTGTCTTTTCCTTTTTCCACATGTCTGGATGCTGACACCAGCGGAGCCATTATGACAACCTTCTTCCTTTCCCCAAGTCTTGGCTTTGTTTTAAAAAAAAAAAAAAAAGGCCAAATTCTCCCTGTACGCTTTCGTAAATAGTAACTTCTCAGGTCTTTGCTTAAATATCACCCTCTAAGAAAACTCATTCCGTGTTATCACTGCCCTGTGTTTGTTTCTGTCATGGTTGGTGAGTATGTGCTTATTTGCTGCTACAGCCTGTCTTTCCCACTAGATTTCACATTCTTTAAGGACTGTGACCACATATTCGCATCGTGGGAATATGAAGGCCGGCCCGTGGCTCATTTGGGAGAGCGTGGTGCTGACAACACCAAGTCAAGGGTTAGGATCCCCTTACTGGTTATCTTTAAAAAAAAAAAAGAAAGAAAAAAGAAAAGAAAGAAGGGAAGATGGAGGGAGGTCCTGAGAGTCCTGGTGCACATGAACCCACCATAACTGACCATGAAGAAGGACTGAGCCTTCTTTGCCAGAGGCAGTGGGGAACTCTGGCTGAGCAGCCATAGGAGGAAGTTTTTGGAATTTCTTCCCTTTGGAGTCCATCTGCAAAGCCAGGGCTTCAGAGTCACCATATGAAGCCTATATAGAGAGGTCAACCCAGCCCATGTCCCAGGAAGCCCTACATGATGCCTGTAGGACCTGAGCCCTACATGCTGCTGAGACAAACGGGAGGTGTTCTTTGAAGAGACAGCATGGTGCTGCCAAGGAACGTGCTATAGAAGCCATAAAACAGCAGCTTTGAGTAGCTGAAATATGACTCATTTTCTGAAAGCTTCATAACCAGGAGGTCCCCATGGCAAAGAGCCTAGGTTTTCATCAAAACCAATCAAGAACAGGCAAACATTTGTCAGACACAACTCCTGATATTTCCCAGGTGCACCATCCTTCCCCAGGGCCAGAGGGGCGGGCAACATGGCCCCCTCTGCCCACTCAGTATTAGCTTGAGGACAGGCAAGGAGTCTCTGCCCAGCAGGCCGGACACCCCCACCCTTGCCTAGAGAGCATTTGGGGACAGATTTGACTTTTTCTTCCTTTTGAAATTTCAGCATCAGAAGCAACATTTTAAATAACACTCAGACAAAAACCTTCATTCACACTCCAGCAACCTCTGCTTATCACACCAGACATCATAACCCCTCTAGGCACAGAACAATTAAAGAGAACCAGGCAGCGAAGCCAGCCCCTGCAGCTGGGGCTGGAACAAAAGCAGATTCTGGCCAGCACACCTGGAAACAGGTGACAGTCTTCATTCCAAACCCTGAGCCAAAAATCCACTCCAGCTTAATTTGCTCTCACTGGATGGTAGGGACAGAAAGGCTGTCCTGTCCACTGGGTCTGGAGAGAGCTGACCCCACTGCAAGAGATATGGGACCCGGCAGAGGGTCAGTAATTATAGTTAAAGCTCACCAGAGTGCAGCTCCAGGCCAGAAGTGGACACTGGGATGCTGGAGAGGTATCCAGAAAAGTGGGACCCACACCAGGCCCTGAGGATCTCACAGGGAATACCAAGGTTGGATGACCTCTTTCTGGCATTCCAAGGACCCTCCTTGCAATCCAAGATAAAACCACACTGCCAAGAATCTTTCCTTCTGTGGAGAGGAGATCTCATGCCAATACAAGCATGAGGCTCACAGGCAACCCCATGAGACTCTGATCAAGAAGTGAGGGCATAAATCACCGGTGGCTGAAAAGTGCACTTAACTTGGCAGACATACAATGAAGGTAGGGTGCCCAGAGAGAAAAGGACAAGGATGGATGTGGCAGGGCTGGTCCAGCCACCCTTTGGCAAACCCGTACCTTCGTTAGCAGTAGCACTCGCTTCTGGAGCCTTCGGGCCAGTGCCTCGTGGGTCTCACGCTTCTTCCTCTCCTCCAGCAGCTGACCACTGACCTGGCGCACCTCCTCCTGAAGCTGCTGCCTGACCTTCTCCAGCCCCCGGGCACTGCACAGGAAAGGCAAAGGGCAGAGCAATGAGGCCTGGTGTGTTCAGCCCCCATCCCAGCCCCCGGGAGGAGCACCCAGCATTGAGCCCCACCAGGACGTCCTGAAATAGAGCTGCACGTGCAACTACCTCGCTGTCATTTCCTCACTCCTGAATAGCTACTTAATGCCTTTCAGGAGTTTCTGGATTTCAAATAGACACCCAGGGTGATCCCAGAACACGGCAGGGAGGGGGAGGGGAAGCTCAACTCCACACACAATGGGAAAAATTGCCAGCGGTACAGCACTTCAGGGAGACGAGGCTTCTGAATGAGCTAAATTGCCACAGCAAGCACTTCCCATCTGAATCACAGTCAGCCACAGATGTGCAGTGTGGCAAGAGGGAACTGAATACGCGCACTGTGGTGGGGGCCTGTTCTAAAAACAGTTTGCAAAGTCGAAAACCTAGCCAAGCACTGCACACTCAGGACCTGGGATGCCTCCCGTGGGGGCAGGTACCAGGGGTTATGTGCCGTACTCCCTCGACAGGCCAGGCCTTATGAGCCTCTCCCCACCTTCACCCCTTCAGCTGGCTAACATTTCCTGTCAATTACACCTTTCCCCTCTATGTTTCCCCACTGCCTCTGCCTCGGTTCACTGAAATTACCACAACAACCTCTCAATAGCATTCACCCGGTCCATCCTCCAATGGGCACAAGTTGTCTCTTTAAACTACAAAAGACGTCAGACTCGATTTAAAAGACTCTAGTGGCTCCCAGACTCACAGGCTAACCTCCAAACTTCCTAGCAGTAAAATGCCTTAAGAATTTGGTCATTGCCCCTCTCTCTCTCTCACCCAAAATGCCACCAATCAGTCCTGTTTCCAGTGCTCTCTTCTGCACCTGCTTGTCTACACATGCTTTAGAAGCTGTCTCAGGAGCCATGGGGATCAACACAGTCAGGACCCAGTAACACTAACCCCAAGAATCAATCTGTGACTTCACGGCTTCCCATGACTGCAAGAGCCCCCATGCGGTGGCACTCCACAAGACAGCTCCTAGGAAGGGATCCAGTGAGGCACAGAGAGGAAAAATATCTCAGATAAAGGGAGGGAGTGAGTGGGAGGCCCAACCCTACCAAGATGGGCACGGAGCAGAGATGCATTATAAAATGATAGTAAAAAATAGCACAAACACTATGTTTTCTAAGTAGTGGAAATCTCTTTACAAAAGAAATCTTAAATAAAAATTTTTTTTAAAAACCCACATAAACGGAATATTGGGATTATGTTATAAAGTGACATAACATTTATGTGAGGTGACAATCAATGGGAACAATTAGGCTGCTTTGAAAATATAAAAATTTGTGATGGGGCTATAAATGATACCTGCAGTCTTAGATCATCTTTGGTATCCAATTATTTCTACTTTGCTTTGGTTACATGATTTCAAGAAAATCTTAATTCACGGGGATGGCAGATAACACTTTCTTTGGAGGTAGTCTCCACTGTGCTAATTTTTTCTATTTCACATCTGAGTACAAGGTGTTTTTTATTATAATTTAGTATAATTCTGTGAGTCAAACATTTATAGAACTTTAGAAGGGATTTGGCGATGGTCCTGGTCTAGCCACGCATGGTGGGGAACCCCTGGTCTGGCCCAGTGCAGAGGCCTTGCAAGTCCACAGAAGCAGAACCAACGTTCTAGCAATGAGGATGCTGGCATTTCATTCCAATTTAGCCATCTCAGAAAGTCTCACACTAATACTGAATCCAAATACAGAACTGGCTGACTGCCACCTGTGACCACTAGGTGCTCCATAACCAAAAACAAAATAAAATAAAAAACAAGTACAAATATTCATTGGAATAGACATATGAAGAGGTTATTTTGAGTTCCTGTTCAATTTAAAACTATTCATAGGCCAATTTAATAATCAAGGACTGTGAAATTGACTCTTGAATCATTGAATTCAGGTGGGGAAGTTCACAAGTGCTTTAAATCACTGCTGAGATATGGGTAATTTAATTAGAAAGATGCCATTGTTCCTTTGCTCTGCTTTAATAGCCAAGAGTGCAAAGGCAAGAACATGGCAAAGGCCATCTTTCAGGTGGTAAGGCACAGCACGGATACCTGACCGGGCTGAGGGGTAAGGGGCTGCTTTGAGCTGTCCTCAGCACAAGATGGTTGGGGCAGCCTTGAAGGGAGACTGACAATCCCAAGCTCTGCATTTTGGGTCATGATGCCTTCTTATCTGTGTGGGAGTGATATTTGGGATTGGAGCCCTCCCCACCCAGAGCAGGTGCAAATAAATGCACAGCCACACGGTAAATGCTATCCTTTTTTTAGAGAGCCCAAATTTTTGATGCTTGAGGACTTGGGCTGAGTGCAACAGTGCCAGGCAGCAAGAATGGGCACCACGAACCCTCGATCTTCATCTGAGCTGGCTGCCAACTCACTCACTGCAGCTGAGCCTGGGCTACCTCCAGGAGGCAGAGAGCCAGCACAAGGTGTCCCAGCCTGAGTCCTCAGCCCAGATCTAAGATGTTGGGAAAAATGGAGCAACTGAAGGATGTAACCTGAGATGTGTGTTGAGTGGCACCTACAAGGAGAAAATAGAGCCCTGAGTGGTTTGGTACCGGGCCCAAATTGGAAAAGCTCAATTGCCAGGTAATAAAGAAAACTTTTACTCTCCCAATTGCATTTCATAAAGTAAGGGTGGGAAGAAATAAAGCCAGAGGAATACATGGTCCTAAAGGAGACCCTGGACACCAGGGAGGACAGCACTGGATGGGCAGCCCAGACTGTAGACCACAGCCCTGCCCACGGTGGCCAAGAGGAGCCCATCTGAGGACTGCCAGGCTGAGCATAGTCAGGACCCCACATCCATTGGGGCCATGTCCCCAAGGCTCAATGTTTAACTGGAACCCAATGTCCCTAAAGGATAGAACTGGACTTAAAAATTCAACTTCAGCATATTACAGGGAGACAACACTGCTGAGTACTCTACAGAGCCTTGCCCAGGACCATCAGCAACTCAGATCTGACTTATGAATTCATTCGATCCATTCAGCAGTTGGAACATTTATTGAGTTCCAGCTGCCAATTTTTCTAGGCACTGGAGAAACAGCAGAGGTCAAACACCACAACAAGCTTATATGTATCTCAGGCAAAGAAACCACACTTATAAAGTGGACAGAGAGAATTTAATATAAAGTATGGTTAAGAAGGTACAAAATGGTAAACTAGGTAACTGGAAGGAGAAAAGGGAGAACCCTAAGATAATAAGGGAGCAACAAGTTGACGAAGCAGCTAAGATTCCTAGGGCTGTGGGAACAAAGGGAAGAGACTGAAATAATTAAAATTTTAAAACTTAGCAGAGGGCCCCATGGAATGGGAACTTAGTCCTTGGATGGGGAGACACTGCCGTGTCTGAACTAGGAGGGAACCCCTAGAGGGCCTGGACCCAGCCCTCTGAAGAGAGGTACCAGACTGCTGGAGCTGGTGCCACTGAGTGCGGGAAAAAAAAACTGTAAACTGGAATCAGCTGCTGTTAGAGAGTGTCACTAAAGTGCCACCCACAGAAAAAAAAAGTAGGCAGGAGGTCCACAGGTACAGCAAGCGAAGAGAAGGGCCCTGCCTGCTCCTCTAGCCTCACCATCTGTCTCTCTAGTGGACCCTGTTGAAGGGCCTGACAAAGGCACCAGCTGGCAAAGCAAAAACGTGGGCTGCAGTTCCCAGCATTGCAAAGCTGAGCACCTAAAAAGGAGTTTGGAGTTGAGACACAATAACTTAAAAACTAGCAGAGGGCAGAAGAGAGAAAATAAGCAAATAAACAAACAAACAAATGAATGTTTTATTACATTGTGAGACATGCTAGAAGGGAACAGAAAGCAGAGGAAGACACAGAGTGAAGACGAGTGTTGATGTGTGTATGACAGTTAGGGAGGTGCCCCTCAGAAAAGCCACCAGAAGAAGGCAGAGATAAAAGTGCTGACATTCCTCCACTTGTGATGGGACTACGTACCAATAAACCCATCCTAACTTGAAAATACCGTAAATTGAAAATGCATTTAATACACCTAACCTACCAAATATAGCTTAGCCCGGCCTACATTAAACATGCTCAGAACACTTATGTTAGCCTACAACTGGGCAAAATCATCTAACATAAAACCTGTTTCATAATAAAGTGTTGACTATCTCATGTAATTTATTGACTACTGTATTGAACGTGAAAAACTGAATGGTTATATGGGTTCTCAAAGTATGGTTTCTACTGAATGTGTATCGCGTTTGCACCAACATAAAGTTGAACCATTGCAGGTCGGAAATCATCTGTATTTAGATATGGGAGGAGCATTCCAGCACAGACAACAGCAGGTGTGGAAGGGGACATTGACCTGATGTGCACATAGTCATCCAGGAAGCAATGAGGCTGGGGACACTGGGGGGCAAGGAGTGAAGTCAGAAGAGGAGAGGAAGAGACAGCTGGAAAGGGCCTATGTGAAGGGCTCAGGAAGATGAGAAGAGAAGAACTAAAGACAAAAAGCAAAGACAGCCTTTTCAAGACATTTGTTCAGCTACAAAGGAAAGTGCAAAACTGGGTTGACAGCTGAAGGGGATAAGAAGTCAAGGTGTCCAGTTTTTGTTTATAAGATGGGAAACAGACTACAAGCGTGTTGGTATACTGAAGGGGATGGTCCAGTAGAGCGACAAGGTCCTGAGTGTGCAGGAGAGAAGGGGCAATTTGAGAAGGGCTGGAATACACTGCCCAAATGAAGACCTCCCACAGCAGGGTTGCCTTCTGAAGGCTCCAGGAATCCAGTCCAGATGCTCCCAAACTAGTTTCTCAAACAATTGCCCACAAATGGCCCTCTCCACACTTGTATGCAGATGGGTTAGAGTACACGACCTCAGGTCAGAAAGAAACTTCTGCGGCTCTACTCCACAGACCCTACAAGGGCTCTCTTTACAGTTCAGAGCATTTGGGTAGCCAAGTCGCAGAGCACTGATCCACAAC